GGTGGCAAAAACTTCCAGTATCACAGGAACATGCAGGCGCCACAGTATGACAACAGTCAGACGGGTGGTGTGGTTCCCTGACCAGAAACGAACCTGGGCCGCAGTGATGAAAGCGCCAAATCTTAACCACTAGACCCCCAGGGCTGCTAGCAACCGTTAGAAACGGCAATTTTTAAAAGTTATCATTTTATAGTAGCATCAAAAAATATAACATAATACAATAAGACACTACGTGCCTTCAGATGGAAAGACCACAATACCACCTGTAAAGCGGTCAAGCCTTAAACTTTGAACCCGAATCTAATCAAAGCTCCAGATTCAATCACCTGTTCACAGGAAATACGGAAGACAGGCACAGGTCTAACTGTACCATGGGGACACAAGAAGCTACAGGACAATCTAGCTTCTTCAAAAACAGACTGCTGGTGGGGCTGGCCCCGTGGCCGAGTGGTTGAGTTCGCGCTCCACTGCAGGCGGCCCAGTGTTTCGTTGGTTCGAGTCCTGGGCGCGGACATGGCACTGCTCATCAGACCACGCTGAGGCGGCGTCCCACATGCCACAACTAGAAGAACCCACAGCGAAGAATACACAACTATGTACCAGGGGGCTTTGGGGAGAAAAAGGAAAAAATAAAATCTTTAAAAAAAAAAAAACAGACTGCTGGAAAAACAAGATATGGAGAGAGACCCTATACGTTAAAAGAGGCTTAAAAGGCATATCAACCACTTGCAATGTGTGGACTTCATTGAGATCCTGACTTTAAAAAGATAAACTACGTTATCTTTGTGAGACGACTGAAATTTGGATACTGAGTGAATGTTTGATGAAATTAAGGAGTTATTGTCAACTTTTAGGCAAGTTAACACACGGTTGGTAGCATTGGGTGATGAGTACAAGGGATTTCATGCCAGGGGCCAGGTATTCTTTTCTGAAAAGAGTCAGAGAGAAAATATTTTAAACCAAATATATGGTCTCTATTGCAACCACTCAACTCTGCCATTGTAGCATAAAGTCAGCCAGAGACAATACGTAGGCAAACAATCACGTCTGTGTTCCAATAAAACTTTATTCACAAAACCAGGTGAGGTGGCCAACCCACGGGCCATAACTTGCCAATCCCTGCTTACAATTCAGTCTACTTTTACATATATTTGAAATTTTCCAGAACAAGTTATGTATAGATATAGATATAGATATAGTATTTAGGATTAAATGTGAAAAAGATATACAAAATTTTTATGAGAAAATATAAAACTTCACTGAAGGACATTAAAAATGATCAAAATAAATGGAAGAATATACTACGTTCATGGATTGAAAGACTCAATATTGTAAAGATGCTAATTCTCCTTAAACTGATTTATAGGTTTGGTATATTTCCAATCAAAATCCCAACAGGTTTTGTGTGTGTGTGTGTGTGTGTGTGTGTGTGTGTAAACTGACAAGCTGAGTGTAATATTTATATTAAAGAGCAAAAGAATATAAAAGCAGAGATCCTCCAGAAAACAAAAAAGTTGGGAGACTTGTCTCACCAGATAATCAAGAACTATTAATAAGCTATTATAATTAACATGGTATAACTTTAGCAAAGGGAAAGAAATTTGAACGAGATGAGTATAGGGAGACCAGAAACCAATCCCACATACATGGAAACTGAATTGCCATCCGGGTATCCAGGGTCCGCCAGGATTCGGCCTATTATCTCGATTCTCTGGTTATTTGTTTGACTCCCTTCATCGGACTATGAGATCCCTGGAGGAGTTCCCATGCTTGTTGAACAAATTATAATAAAGTTCCATAAAAATCCAAACCCCTTAGCCAGGCCTTTGGCAGCCTGGCTCAGAGCATGAACTCTGGAGTCATACAGGCCTGGATTCAAACTGTGGCTCTACCACTTATTTGCTGTGTGACCCTGCATGAGTCACTTAACTTCTCTGAATGTCAGTTTTCCCAATCAGCAAAACAGGGGTATTAATACTGACTTTTAACACTATCGTGAGGATTAACTATGAACTGATGACACGTGAAGTCCCTGGTATACATCAAGCACTCAGTAAAGAGAGCTACTCTCAGGCTGCCTGGAAAGACACACTCCTCCCTCCCAACCTCCTAACATCCTGCAGCTGCAGACGGGGTACCTGAGCCTGGGAGCCCAGGTGGGGCCCGAGGAGCTGTGTGCCTCCCTGGTTGTGATGGGTAGAGCAGGGGACACTGGCAGAGCTGCTCGCCCCACGTTCCTGGCTGTCCCATCCACAGAGCAGCTCCAGACTGCACGGGCCACTGCGGCGCTCAGGACAGAGAAGAAAATGGCGCTTCAACCCACCTCCTCACACCCGTCCAAGGGGCTCTATTTCAGGCCAGAACGCCACAACCTGCCTCTCCTACCAGATTCCCAGCCGTTCTGGGGCCCAGGTGAAGCCCCCATTCCCTAGAAGAAGCAACTACGACTCAGAGAAGAGGCATTGTGTCTAAAGTTGCCCTGTAGTAAGAAACAGAGGCTGACCCTGAACCTATGTGTCTGCCCCCAGCACGAGTCAGGCTGCCTCCAGGAGAAGGTGCTAGGGCCCCAAAAGGGGCTCCAGACCAGCTGGGCACTATACCCACGCCTGCCCCTGCCCCACTCAGCCCCGCCCTCAACCACCCGCCTGTCCCTGTCACAGCCAAGCCTGCATTCTTCTCCTGCAGCTGGCACCAGTTGCCATGGCGACAGTTGTTTGGGAAGCTGTGGGATGACCGGCTATGCCGCAGAGTCAAGGATGGGGCCCAGAAGAGAGAGCAGCTGTGGGCTGCTTCCACTCAAGGCAGGCGGGAACCTGGCTCCACCAGCAAGCTCAAGCAACCCCTCAAAACACTGCAGACCCAGGGATCCCAATTCTGGGCATCTGGCCCAAATAAACAGTCTGAAATGGGGAGAAGCCAGACGCGCAGGGACGTTCACCCCAGCATTACTGAGAGCAGGACAAAACTGTCTGCTGATAACAGGTAACATTTTTGAGTATTTTTCTTGTACCAGTCACCGTGCTAAATGCCAAACGCGCGTCATCTCATTTGCTCCTCATCACCACCCTGTGAGGTAAGGCCTTCTAACACCCCTGTTTTGCAAATGAGGAAATTACGCTCGGAAAGGTGAAGCCACTTGCCTAGGTCATTCAGGTAGTGGCAAAGCCTGGACGGCACGCTGGACTGTCGGCCACCAGGCTTCGTGCTCTTCACTACAGGACAGCGGTCGGAAATGAGAGGGGGAGGCCTAGCCCATCCTCTAGTCCCAGCAGGGGCTGCGGCTCTGACAAATAGGTCTGGGGGCTGCTATGATGCAAGGTTCAGGGAAAGGACGGATTCGCCAAAACAACATGTACCAAGTTGGAAAGATCTTCAAATACTATAGCACTTGAAAAACAAACAAAGCGCAAGTCCCAGAACAATGAAGCGCAGGATGTGCCTATTTACATACAAAAAGGCGCCATAGCAGATGGCCGTATATGTGCACAAGTTCAAAAGAGGGAGACTGGAAGGATGCTATCCATTAACGGTGGTTATCTCCAGACGAAGGGCCAGGGGGCATTCAAAGGCAATTCCTCATTCTGTGTTAACAAGTCAATTGTGAAATTTTTTTTAAATACCAAAAAAAGTTAAAATATTAGACACACGTGATCCCATTTCTCGGTGAAGAAAAGATACATATGCACAGGAAAAAGATGGAAGACATATACCAAAATGTCAACAGGAGATAGCTCTGAATGCTGGCACTTATGGGGATTTTTATTTCTTCTTTATTTTCTGTGATAAGCACATAGTAGGTTTTTTATTAAAAAATTAATGTTTTTGAGTGATGTTTACGAAGACAATGTACTAGCATTCCAATGTCTTTATACTACCAAACAGTGGTGAACGGCACAGGCAGCTCACTGGTTCCTATCCCAGTTCTACTAATTTGCTGTTTGGCCTTGAACTAGTCGTTTTCGCTCCCTGAGCCTCAGTGTCCACCTCAGTAAAATGGGTACATATCAATAGCCCCTACCTCATAGGGTTCTTAGGAAGATTGAAGATAAAGTGCTCAGCACAGGGCCCAGCCCACGGTAAGCAGGCCAGGTGCTATTACTACCGTGATGCTCATGGGGAATATGTTCAACCAGGCGGTGCAGCAAGCTCTCCAGGCAGACTGCCTGGGTTTGTATCCTGGCTCTGTCATTTACCGGCTGTGTGACCTTGGGCCTATAACCGTACCTCTCTGGGCTTCATGTGAAGATTAAACCAAAAGCACCTAGCACATAATACATAGTCAATAAATATGATAAAAATTCAACTAGGTGAGACATATACACTAAAGACAGGTGGTGCCGTCTTCTGCCTTTGGTATATAAACTTTAGCTATGATTATTAATAAAATGACAATTATGATTATAATGAACAATGGAAAGGGAAGCAGTGGATACAGGGAACATGGCCAGGCACTGACTTCCTTGCTGTGTGAGTTTGGAGAAGTTTGTTAACTTCCTGAGCCTCAGTTTCCCCATCTGGAAATACGGGCCTAAGGCATATCTTACGGGGCTATTGTAACACTCCAGGGAAAGCAAATTCAACATAAATTCAGTAATTTACCTTGTGCCTTATGCTGTGCTAGGCACATTATTTTACACCATCATCTCACTGAATCCTCAAACAACCCCATTAAATTGGAATTGTAGGTCCTTTTTACAGATGAGGAAATTTAGGTTAAAAGATATTCCAAGATCACTTGGCTAGGAAGTGGGCAGAGGGAAGATGTGAACCCAGGACTCACCAACTCCAAAAGATACTGACCCCTCACAAGATGTCAGTAAATGTAGTTTGTTTTCTCTTTCCTGACTTTTGGGCCTCAGTTTACTCATGTATAAAGTGGGTGTGAGGGATAATGCTCATGAAGAGTCCATCTAGTTGAGTTCTATTAAATGTCACCACCAAGCGTGATATTGAGAGACCCGCCCAGCCCTTCCTATCCCAACCTCTCAGACTCAACTTACCAGCTGGCAGCAGCCTCCTGGGCGGGAGTCCTCCAGCTGGCACTGGCTGGAGTTGTCTGAGCTTCTGCCTGTGCCCTGCTTCTGGGCCTGGGTCCCCGGGCCCCTCCTGGACTTCTTGGCACACTTGGATCTTCTCTGCCCCATGGAGAAGCCTGAGCTAGCCTTGCCGGCTGCAGGCTCCCGGGAGCTGACGGAGGTGTCGGAGGGAGCCGTGAGTCCACGCCCTGGCCTTCCCCTGGACTCCGGCCGAGCCTTGACCTCCGGCTCCTCCTGGTTGGGTGATGCGGCAGGGCCCTCACCACCATCAGCCCTTACGATGTGCTCAGCTTCCTGCCGCTCTGGGGAAGCCTTTCCAGACACTCCCAGGCACCACACAGGACTCTGAGGAGGATCCTGGGCAGCTGGCCTGAGGGACCCTCCTCCAACGGGCAGTGGGAACCCAACACCTGCCTGGGCCCCATCCCTGGCAGCAGGCAAATATTCGAATTTCTCAGTCCCTGAGGCACATGCCACCCAACTTCCACCTGGATCTCCAGGCGCAGACCCAGGAGAGAGGGGACTGCAAGGACCCCCCAGGGACTCCAGGTCAGCACCTTGTGGGGAGCCTCCCACAGACGGGGCTTTGTCCCCACCAGGGCTCTGACCAAGCCACAAGAAGCCACCAGCCCCCTCCCCACCCTCTGGGTAGGCCTTACACTTCCTGTTTGTCTTCCTTGTCCCCACTGGGGCTGGGTCTGGTGAGGATGGCAGGTCCCCTTCGGGGGGCTCCTCTTTGCTGAGGGTGGGGCTTCTTCCATCACACTCTGGTGAAGTCCCACCTTTTCCAGCCTCCCTGGGCCTGGGGCAGTTCCCCTTCTCCACCCCTGCCGGCCTCTCCCTGCCGACCAATGCTCTCTCTGGGAGACCCACAGACAGACCGCACAGGTTCCCGGGCCAGCTTTCAGCTAAGATGTCGTGCAGGGAAATCCGGAGCCTCCTGGAGACCTGAGCCCTCTTCTGAGCAGGCACTGTGGGCAGCTGGATGTGGCACCCAGGGCTGTGCACCAAATCCCGGGACCTGGCACCTCGACAGGCCTCTTCCCTGAGGACCCTCTTCCTGCGGCCAGCCCAGGCTTGGGCCCCGGAGCTTGCCCCTGGCATGTCTGCTGCCAGACCTGACATGGAACTGGTTTCTTGCACGTCCTTCTGGGAAAGCCCACAGCTGTGCCGCGGACTGAGAACAGGGTCCTCTGTGCTGGAGCCCTCTGCAGCCCCCTCCTGAGGCATGTCTGTCCACCTACAGGGGCCAAAAGCAGAAGACAGGCCCTGCGAGGAGACAGAGAGAAGAGACCTCAACACGGAGTGTTTCACCCGCCAGCACATTCAGGCGCCAGGCCAGTGGGCACCTGGGAGGCAGCCTCCTTTCCAGGTTGTACCCCCAAGGAGACAGCACCCAGTGTGTAAGCGCCCCAGGTGAAGGAGAGGAGGCCCGCCTCCACACAGGGTCTTCCCATCTCTGAGAGTTGACACTTTTGCTGAAAGGGGCTACAGTAACTAGTTACCACTTATTAATTACTCACGTACGTGTTATTACGTCATTTCACTCAGGCAGCCACAGGTGAGAACACTGAGTGACTCGCCCAAGGCCACGCAGATGGGATGTGGAAGAGCCGGGCTGCTCTCCCGAACGGAAAGCCCAGCTCTGAACCACTCCGCACGGGGCAGACAGGGACAGGGGTTAACGCCCTCACCCCTCCTACCTCCCTCACCTCGGTCCCCTTCTGATAGCCACTCCAGTCAAGGTCCCAGGCCTGACCAGGGCAGTCCCACGCCGCTCAGGGAACCGGGCCCCCACCAATCCAGACGCTCTCACCTGGGGTCCCCGGGAACTGAGGAGCTGGGATCACGTGATGCGGGGAGCCCCGGGTGAGGGATGGGGGCGGAGTCCCTGATGATGAGCAAAGGGCGGTACCCCAAGCGTGCTGGCGTCCCTGCCCCGGCAGAGGGCGCTCTCTCCCTCCTGAGGGCTTCCCGGAGGAGGTGCCAATCCGGGCTCCTGAGCAGGAGTAGGTGGGTTCCTGGGAGGAGGGGTCTCAGGTGACAAAGTCTGCCTGAGGCTTTAATCTTGATCCTAGGGCGATGGGGAGTTACTGAAAGTGTCTGCTTCTGCACCTCTAGGGGAATGTCGGAATTAGATCTAGAGTTTTGCATAATTATTTATTTTAATTATCTCATATATAATTCAATGGACGAAAATACATATGCAAGCCCAATAAAACGATTGAAATAAAAAGTTAAAAACTGGGGCCAGCCAGGTGGCCGAGTGGTTAAGTTCACACGCTCCACTTCAGTGGCCCAGGGTTTCTCGGGTTCTGATCCTGGGTGTGGACATGGCACCGCTCAATAGGCCATGTTGAGGCAGCGTCCCACATGCCACAACCAGAAGGACCCACAACTAAAATATACAACTATGTACTGGAGGGCTTTGGGGAGAAGAAGGAAAACAAAAAAAGATTGGCAACAGATGTTAGCTCAGATGCCAATCTTTAAAAAAAACAAAAGATTTGCAGCAGGTACATTCTATCCTGTAATGATAATTCAGTTTGCCATACTTTGCCTTAGATTGATCCTTAACACTGAAAACCAAATGAAATTTGTAACGTTATGACTATGTACATACTTTCACTGCCGAACTAGAGATTTGATAGACCTACTGAGAGGCAGATGGAATTCCCTGGCACTAACCCTGTGCTGTGTGAGACCCTGAGAAGCTTCTGGGTCAATGGAATACTACACTGCTATTAGGATGACTAAATTAGATCTATATATCAATATAGATGTGTCTCCAATACATAATGTTGAATTAAAAAAAGCAAGATAATGTTCGTAATAAGGGAAACTGAGTGCCAAAGTATATGGGAACTCACTGTACTAATCTTCAAATTTTTTCTGTAAATCTAAAATGCTTCTAAAAAATAAAGTTTGCTGCAAAAAGAAAAAACAAACCAGGCAGCTGTATGTGATCTATATGGAAAGCTGTCATGATCTGGTTGTCAGGGTCACAAGAAGAGTTGAGATTGGATGTCACCGATGACTCCAATTATTGCTCTAAATAAATAATTTTTTCAAGTGAGAAGACCTCCCACTATGGAATATACTGGTCATGATGGCAGAGACTTGGACCAAGTCTCCTAAGACCAAGTGACCTGTTAGTCTGGTGCATTTGGATAATGGAAGTCTCTGACCACTGGGCGAAGAAAGGGAGGCAAAGTGGAGGTGTTAGATCACATGTGGTACTGGGGACAAAAGGACCCTGACAGCTAAGAGATATAGTGCTGCTGTGAGCCAGGGACTGGCCTAAATGCTTTGCCTATATTAACCCTATATTTACGTATTTCGTTACCTCTGTTAATCCTTACACCAAGTGTATGAGGTAAGTACTTTATGAACCCTACTTTACAGATGAGGAAATAAGCACAGAGAGATCAAGTAACTTGCCCAAGGTTAGTAAGTGGTAGAGAGTTGATTTGGGAACGCAGACATCTCTCTATCTCCTGAGATTCTAAAATGTCTCATTGCTATAAAAAATAATCAAATTGGGCCAGGTTTTGACCCAATGCCTTTTTTTTTTTTTTTTTGCGGAAGATTAGCCCTGAGCTAACATCTGCCACCAATCTTCCTCTTTGTGTTGAGGAAGACTGGCCCTGAGCTAACATCTGTGCCCATCTTACTCTACTTTATATGTGGGGTGCCTGCCACAGCGTGGCCCCACAAGCAGTGCGTAGGTCCATGCCTGGGATCCGAACCTGTGAACCCCAGGCTGCGGCAGAACAAGCTAACCTAACCACTGCACCACTGGGCTGGCCCCAACCCTGAAGAGTTCTGTTGGGATTTATATTAAAATTTCATTGAATTTACACATTAGAGGTATAATTGAATATTTATAATACTAAGTCTTCTCACCCATAAATGAGATATATTTCTTTCTATTCTTTCAGGTCTTCAATTCATTTTTGTAATTTTTCTCCATCAAAATATTGTACATTTTTATTAAATTATTCTGTACTTTATAATTTTTGTTGCTTTTTTTCTTATTACCTTTCCACTTGGTTATTAGCAATGTAAAGGAAGTCAATTGTATTTTGTTGACCATGTATCCAGAAATTTTGCTGAACTCTCTTACTAATTCTAATAATTTTTCTATTGATTCTTTTGTAAGTGTACGTCACTATATGATCATATGGCTGAAAATAATGACAATTCCATCTTGCATTGCACCAGAGTTATATTTCCCTTTTCATTTACATCTTTTTGGTAGATTGTACCATTCCTTATATGCCGTATTTCTTTTTCTTATCTTATTGCATTGTTTAGGACTTCTAGTGCAATCTTGAGTAGATGCACAGGAATCTTTGTTTTGTTTTTTACTTAAATGAAAAATTTCTAAAGTTTCACAATTTTTGCTATAGACTTTGATAGATAATATACATTAGGTTAAGGAAGTTCCCTTCTGTTAAGTTACTAAATACTTTTTCCATTTTTGGGTTTTGAATTTTCTTGTATGTTTTCCTTTATATCTTTTGATATCTTTTCTGCTTAAAAGAGTTGATGTGATAAAATACATTGATGAATTTTCTAATGTTGAACCATCTCTGCATTTGTAATACAACCCCTACGTAGATATGGTGTATTATTTTTTAAAACATGACTACATTTGACTTCATACATTTTAATCAGGTTTTTGCATCTATGTTTATAAGAAAGATAGACTGATGATTTTATTTTCCTATTGTGCCTTTTCTAGTTTTAATGTCAAGTTTGTGCTATCCTTATAGACTGAATTCGGTAGATCTCTTCTTTTTCTGGCCTCTGGAACAGTGAGTATGGATTTCCTATTCCTTGAACATTTGGTGAAATTCGCTGGGAAATTATCTTGTGCCTTTTGATGAGTGAGACTTTTTACTACTACCTCAATTTAGTAGATCACTATTGGTCTGTTCAGTTCTATTTCTTTTTGAACCAATTTCAGTAATTTGTATTTTCCTAGAATTTGTCCGTTTTATCTAGGTTTTCAAGTGTAATGGCATAAAATTGTTCATGATATTCCCATGATTCAAAAAATCTCTACCGGGGCTGGCCCCGTGGCCGAGTGGTTAAGTTCGCACGCTCCACTGCAGGCGGCCCAGTGTTTCGTCGGTTCGAATCCTGGGCGTGGACATGGCACCGCTCATCAAGCCACGCTGAGGCAGCATCCCACATGCCACAACTAGAAGGACTCACAATGAAGAATATACAACTATGTACTGGGAGGCTTTGGGGAGAAAAAGGAAAAAAATAAAATCTTTAAAAAAAAAACAAACAAAAAAACCCAAAAAAATCTCTATTGTATCAGAGTTATATTTTCCTATTCATTCCTAATATTTCTGCTTGCTCTCTTTCTTTCTCTCAATCAGTCTTTCTAGGGCTTTTCTCTAAAGAATTAGATTTTTGTTTTGCTTATTATCTCTGTTCTTTTTTTGTCATTGTATTTTCTATTTCATTATCCTCCACTCTTTTATTCTTTAACTTCTTCTGCCTTCTTTGGTTTACTCTTGTTGTTTGAATTCCTTCTTAACCTGAACCTGCAGCTCATTTTTAGAATCTTTTTCATTTGTAGTTAATTCATTCACTGCTATACCGTCCTCTCTAAGCACTTCTTTGGCTGCATCCTACGAGCCCTAGTAGGTGATGATGAAGCTTTTATTGTCATTCAGCTATAAATATTGAAAATTTCCATTATAATTTACTCTCTAACTTATGAATAATTTATAGGTTTATGTGTATATTTAGCCTTCAAATAAATGAAAAATTTTAAAGCTGCATGTTATTATTAAAAATAAAGTGGGGCCAGCCAGAAGACATGAACAGACCTTTCTCCCAAGAAGATATACGGATGGCCAATAGGCACATGAAAAGATGCTCATCATCGCTGATCATCAGGGAAATGCAAATCAAAGCTACACTGAGATATCACCTTACACCCGTTAGAATGACAAAAATATCTAAAACTAATAGTAACAAATGTTGGAGAGGTTGTGGAGAAAAAGGAACCCTCATACACTGCTGGTGGGAATGCAAACTGGTGCAGCCACTATGAGAAACAGTATGGAGATTCCTCAAAAAATTAAAAGAGAACTACCATACGACCCAGCTATCCCACTGCTGGGTATCTATCCAAAGAACTTGAAGTCAGCAATTCCAAAAGTCCTATGCACACCAATTTTTTTTTTTTTTAAAGATTGGCATCTGGAGTAACAACTGTTGCCAATCTTTTTTTTTTTTTTTCTGCTTTATCTCCCCAAACCCCCCTGTACATAGTTGTATATCATAGTTGCAGGTCCTTCTAGTTGTGGGATGTGGGATGCTGCCTCAATGTGGCCTGACGAGCGGTGCCATGTCCGTACCCAGGATCCAAACCCTGGGCCACCGCAGCGGAGCGCCCGAACTTAACCACTCGACCACAGAGCCGGCCCCTCACACCAATGTTTATTGCAGCATTATTCACAGTAGCCAAGACGTGGAAGCAACCTAAGTGCCCATCAACAGATGATTGGATAAAGAAGCTGTGGTATATATATACAATGGAATACTACTCAGCCATAAAAAAGAACAAAATCGTCCCATTTGCAACAACATGGATGGGCCTTGAGGGAATTATGTTAAGTGAAATAAGCCAGATAGAGAACGACAATCTCTGTATGACTCCACTCATGTGAGGAATTTAAAAATGTAGACAAAGAGAACAGATTAGTGGCTACCAGGGGAAAGGTGGGGTTGGAGGTGGGCACAAAGGGTGAAGTGGTGCACCTACAACACGAATGACAAACATTAATGTACAACTGAAATTTCACAAGATTGTAACCTATCATTAACTCAATAAAAATTTTTAAAAAATAAAATAAAGTGGGGCCAGCCCCATGGCCGAGTGGTTAAGTTTGCGGGCTCCGCTTTGGCGGCCCAGGGTTTCGCCAGTTTGGATCCTGGGCGAGGACATGACACTGCTCATTGGGCCATACTGAGGCGGCATCCCACATGCCACAACTAGAAGGACCCACAGCTAAAAATATACAACTATGTACTGGGAGGCTTTGGGGAGAAAAAGGAAAAATGCAATCTTAAAATAAGTAAATAAATAAATGTAATTTTACTGCATTATGATGAGATAAAATTGTCTATATAGTATTGATTTTTTGAGAAATGTTTAAGGTTTCCTTTGAGATCTGATGCTTTGTGAGTCGTTGTTAATATTTATTGTGAGCTTGATATAATGTAAATTCT